TCAGCATTTCTGGGTGGGTTGGTGCTTGGGGCCAAAAGGGTTAAACGAATCACCCTGTCACAGGGGCAGTTTTTTGACTGCTGGTCTATAAATAGGAGCTGGGTTTCTAATCTACTTGCCACTCGTTTCCACTCCCTGCCAGTTTTTTCCTGCTTTTTCCTGCAAGGAGGTACCTGCAACTGCTACAGTTTGCAGCCCTGCAGACACTGCTGGGAGAGGGAGAGAAGCAGCTGAGTCCTGCCTGATGAGACTCATCTGCAAGTTGTCCTCTAACCAGACTGGTTAAAAGACACGAAAAAAAAAAAAGAAAAAAAAGAGAGGAGAGAAACCAAGCCTTTCTCTTGCCGGGGCTCCACAATCCTGGTCTGTGCTGAGTCCCCAGCCCAGTTTGACTCCTTGCCTTGCCCCTACAGAGCCCCCTCAGAGCCATCCCCTTTTTGGGACAGGCGAAGCCCTGGTTCAAGTGCTGCAAGGTGATGTGGAAGACCCAGTTCTGCTCCCTGAGTGAAAGATCCTGCTGGAGAGGGAGCCGGTAGTAGCGACTGACAGCATTTTTGGTCTCTTGGCAAGTCTCCCATCTGCTGGCTACCCCTGAGCCTGGATCCCCTGCCCTATCTTCTCCATCTCTCCAACAGCACAAACAGCTCCATCCCTGCCGAGGGACAGGCTGTAAATCCTTGAGAAGGGTGTGAGGACTTGCTTGAAGAAGGGACTGGAGGTTTGCAGAGAAGGTTTGCAAAGAAAAGCCAGCTTCCCACTGGGATGGGGAAGACGTGGACAAGTTGGAGCGTGGCCAGAGATTAGTGAGGACATGATGGCTCCCAGCAAGTTTGACCTGGGCTGGATAACAGGCAAAAGAAGGGGCTCAGGGAGACATGAGAGCAGCCCTCAAATACGCAAGAGAGAAATGCAGAGAGGGGATAATCTCTTCTCTGCCGATGGGGCAAGACATTTTGGGCTTAGCAAGACAAATTTAGATGATGAAAACTCTTTAATAGTTAGAGTGATAAAGTTAACTTTTCCAGGTCTAATTTTGACAAATGGATGATTTAATGAAGAATGTGAATAAAAGGGAGCCAGTGCCTGAATCCTTCTGTTGTGTTGACCTGTTGCATGTTGGTCCACTTAACCTGAAAACTCAGCTTGGACAAGCTCTTCTGTTATACAAGCTCTTCTGTTGATGGACAGTCAATAGACTGGAGTGGAACTGACAAAGAAGTGGAGTGGTTCATTGCATGGCTCCTTCTGAGCAGCCACACAGCCAGGTCAGGTGCATATCCCAGGGGACTTTCCCTGTGTGCCCACCTCGAGCTTCAGTGCTGCAGACAGAAACTTTCCAAGGCTGCTGAGTCACTGAAATGGAAATGTTTTACCAAAAAATGTTGAGTTTGATAAAATTGCTAATGGGATCCTGCTGGCTTCCCTGACAGCTTGGCTCCACGCCCTGCATTTGGAGTAGCTGCTGGGAGGGAGGTTAGTCCTTGCAGCTGAATAAGTGTGATGCTCTGGGCTCCCAGGATGATAGCTCTGCTGAGACTCTGGATGGGCTGTGCCAAGCCAGGACACTCTGCTGGCATCTGCAGCCCCACGTCCCCCAGCACCCTGCCTTGCAACTGCCCCTAGTGCCTCTTGTGCCATGGGTTCTCCTCCATGGAATGTGTCTTGTTTCAGACCCTAAACTACCTTTTTTCCTCAAAATATTGATTTTTTTATTATTTAGTATTTTTTTTAAGAGTGACAATTCAGCCTCTTGACCAGCTTCAGCTCTGCCTTGCAGACTGGCCTGAGCTAAGGATGCTGTACTGGAGACAGTTAAACAGTTTACCCCCATCTGCACCCCAGCTCTTCTTGCCCTGGGAGGATGGGGAGCACCTACCCAGAGTGATAGCGGTAGTAATTTAGTCCCTGTCTTGCAACAGACCAGCTCTTCTGGTGAACAACAAGAAATAAATGGAGGTAGTTATTTCTCATGCAGAGCCAATCCAGGTAAACAGAAAACTCCGGTTGCTTTTGCATTCCATTGATGCTGGAGGAGCACCACCAACCCAGCTTGGCTCCCAGCAGGCTCAGCCTGCACTGTGCTCGTCTGAGCCCTCCCAGGCTGTTCAATCACAGCTGGACCCAGGCAATCCCCAGCTCTGCTGCTGCTGCTGAGATTTCATCATTCTCCAAAACCCCTTCTGACATCTCCAGTATCTGCTGCAATGGGGCCCCCTTTGCTCTGGGAGCACTTCTCCACTCGGATGCTGCTGCAACAAGTCCAGGCTGTTGGCCTCCGCTCCCAGTTTTAGCTGTAGGGAAGACCATCTCCTCACAGGATTTTGGTAGGTGCTTCTGCCAGCCTGTGCTGATGTGTGACCCTGGCCATCATCATGCAGCCTGGGTGAATACTGGTTTCACAATTTAGGGGTGTTTGCAAGACTTCTGCTGTTCACCAGTTCCCACAATTCTTGTTGCAGCTCCCTGTTTTATACCTGACTGCAGATGGTCCCCACTAAAGGATCATGGTGGGATCTGTCTCTGGAAGTTTAATGCAGCTTTAGAAGTCCCTGACAATGAGCTTCTTCAACATGCTGATAAGCCAAAACTGCTCCTGTCAGCTGGAGGCTGAGAACCAGGAGATTGTATCCTTCCTCTCCTGCTGCTGAGAGGAGCCTGGGTTCTACTCCTGGCTAATCTGGGTCTTCAGCAATAGGTGACAGATCCAGGGTTTCCTCTGGGACAAACCTTCACTAGTGGGAGGTGGGGACAGGACAGCCCTTTTTTGTTCCAAGTCAGCAGCTGAAATCCAAGCCTGTGCCAGAGGTAAGCAAATGCTTGGAGCAAGTGGGAGTGCTGGAAAGGGATCCCAGAAGGGATCTTGGCTTAATTCCTGATACCTCTGCAACCAGGGCAGAGTGCTTTGGCTCTCCAGTCTGTCTTCTGAGAGCAGTCAGGGTCACTGTGGTGAAGGGATGGAAGCTTCACTGTTGCTAGTTTAGAAAATCAAATTTCCTCTTAGTCACCTGGGAAGCCAGAATCTCCTCTCATTGCTCTGGGACATGCAGATTGGAGTACTCCCTTGAGAGCAGCACTCCTAGGATGTGGGAATGTCCTCTCAGTAGCATTTTGCCCTGCAATTGTTACCAGCACGTGGCTTCTCACTCCATTTTCTTTGGCTTTCGTCAATTGCCATGTTTTGGGCAACTGTTAAACATTAACTTAGATTTGTACTTAATAACTTGGTAGTGTGTTTGGAGCTCAGTGCACAGGGAGGGGACACACTCAACCCCCCTTCCCTGGCCTTGCCAAAGGTTTAGCGATGTCAAAGCAAGAGAGTCACTGAGAGCACACCATCGTTCATTGAGCACACACCTATGCTTGTCTGAAGGCTTAGTCAGGTATCCACCAAGTGTTGTTTTCATCCACCAAAAATCTTTGATTTCCTTGATTAACATAACTAGGAGGACCTTACTGATTTGAAAGCAGAGCGAAAAACATTTTCAGCAGAGATCAAAGCCCTGGAGGGGACCGGTATGTACAGGAATGGCATTAACAACTAATCCCCTCTAATCCAAGATGACATCCTTATCGCATGAGGGCATAAAATGTAATTAGACTTATATAGTGCTATCTCCAGAACACTAAGCAAATATTAACCAATCCATCTTCCCAGTGCTCCTGTGAGGACAGTCCAGTTACCCTGGCTGTGCAGGTGAAGAAACCAAGGCACGGGATGGTGCTCTAGCAGAGTCCCTTTCAGGAGAAGGCCATGCAAACCATGCACCCAGTAAAAAAAATTAGCAAAGCATTTATGACCACCGGGAGGTTTTTTGGGGACATGGAGCACATCTTCCTTCAAGGGTCATGTTATCAAGGGGGTGCTGTTTCTCCACACTTCCAGGATCCCTCCACAGCTGTTACATATCTGCAGGGAGTTAAAACACATGTTCACATATGGGCTGCCTCTACTGTTAAAACATGTTTAAATTATATCCAACCATCCCTTCAGCTCTGCTTGTGTTAGGGTTTGTTTTCTAACCTTGCTTATGCCCAGGTTCACCCCATCTCACAGATGCTGCAGAATGCACCTTTGCCAGGGGAAGCATTGCTGTTCTCCCCTTCCCTTGGCTCTCCAAGATTAATTGGCCCTGAGATGAGTAATGCAACTGATGGTCCTTGCCTGTGTGGAGTGATGCCCCTTCCTTTGGGATTAAAGCCAGTGTGCAGGTTTTAGAGCCTGAACTGATGTCTCTGTCAAGTGTATGTGGTGATGGGAAGGGAGCTCTGCCTCAACCCCTGCCTGCATGATGCCTTTCAGTGGCCAGTGGTGTTTCTTTCTTTGAAGTCTGATCCCCTTTGGGTAGTAGGACCATTTGCAGCAGTGTGGGATGTTATCCTCTTATCAGTGTTGGTTAGCGTTGGGTGCCCTTGACAAAGAGCTGCCTGTAATGGAGTAAGACACTTAAAAACAGCCACCGAATTTCTCAAGGCCTTGGGATAGGATTATATTTCTTGGGCTGGCAATGCTTTCTGCTTTAAAAACAGTTGGAATGTATTTGAGTGTGAAGTATAATTTCCTGGGCTCGACCAGTCTTTGAAATCAAAGACACTCACCAAAAGGCTACTGTCATTTGAAGGACAAAAAGTTTAGTAGGCTCCTCTTTGGTGATGTTGGTCCCTTGACTTGAGGACATCACCCTTGAAGCTCTGTCACAACGCACATTTATCAGAGGTCCCAGGAAGGGCAGTGTGGTGTAGGGTGAGGAGAGACAGTCACAGTGTCCTCCGGCGCTCCCTGGCTCTGGGTCACCTCTCCCCACTGTGAGCTGCTCCCACACCCTGCAGGAACCAGTCATGAATGTATTGTTTTATTTTCCCCTAGAATACTGGAAATGAACAAAAGAAAACAGTGAAGGTTAGGACTCACAGGTCTGTTTGCTTTATTAATAAAGTTCCAGATTTTCTGGAATAGAAAAGAAAATGCTGTCCGCAGGAAACATCAGCAAACTATTCCAGGAAGAAGAAGGGAAGGAATGCCATTGAGGCAGAAAGATGTGGAAGTGGTTCATGGAAAGCTGTTCAGACACTGATCTTTTTGGAGTTGAGACTATGCTGTACCCTCAGTGGTAGTCACACCTCACTGGGGTGATGGCAGAATCCATCCCCAGACCTCCCTTGGCTCCTTCCCTCCCTGCTTCCTGCACTGTGCTGGCACCACCAGTTGCATGGCCACACTGGGACTCAGATCTAGGACTGATCCATCTGAGAAGCAAACTCAAGCCTTTTTTTTTTGTCTTACGAAGAAAGAACAGTTCCCAGTGGAAGCCTCTTGTCTCCTGGCATTCCTGGTGCAGGTGAAGGGAGAAGTGCTGCATGTCCTGCAGTGGGTGGATGGAAGTGCACAGGGTAGGCCATTGCAGCTACCAGGGCAAGATTATGTCACTCTGGAACCCACAGTTGCTGAGAATTCAGTGCCACAGCAGTTTCTGCCTGCTGAGGAACTGCTGCTGTGTTTACGATGGCCAAAAAATCCCTATGCTAAGAGCTTGCCGTCTGACTGTGAGGCAGTTAAAACCCAGAAATGCCCAAATGTTAGCATGCTGCAGAGTATGAAGCAATCTTTGTCCTTTTAGGCAGCTCACCTGACACTGCTTTTCTAGCTTTATAATGCCACCAGTGAACTGCTGTAACATGTGTGACTTGGCCAATGCGTCCTTTAAAAGCCATTGAAAATGTTCCCTTTCCTTGCCTGAGGGCCCCTGGCTCCAGAGTCGCTGGGTTTCCTCCCTCTGCTTCTGGAGCTCAGGCTGCCCAGATTAAATCATGTATTGAAAAATTCCATAGCAGCTTCCGACCTCAATGAATAGCATATTCAAGGCCACTGGAAGGCTCTTGCATTATCTAGTTCAGTGGTTTTCAACCATTATTTTTATTTCCAGTAGAGATGGGAATCCCCAAAAAGTCACATCTATAGCCAGCTGACCTGCTAAGTGCAATCACTTTTCACAGGAGTGGAAATAACACCAGGAGCAACCTGGACTCTTACAGAGTCTCCAGGTCACTGACTGAAGTCTGCTGCAGCATGACCCTGTCATCCAGGAGAATCCATGGGATTGCATCTGCTGGCATCTCAATCACCAGAGGTGAGAGGCTGCAAAGACACTCCTTTGGTCACATTTATACATGCCTAGCTGAGCTGGAGCTGATAGAGATACACCTTCAGGCTGGATCAGACAAACAAGGGATGATCTACAGCAAAGACAACCTACATTTAGGTTGAAACAAAGCCTCAGACCATCAAAGGGGTGACAGCAGGAGAATAAATGAAACTGGAGCCTTGAAGCACTCAGAGAGAGGCACTCTGATGACCCACAGAGGCAGGGTGGGATGGAGAGATGGAAAAAGGCAGTTGCTGTCAGCTCCAGGGTTCAAAAAGCACATCCCAAAGCAGTGAGTGGTCACCAGCCATGGAAGGAGACCAGGATAAGGACTACAGAGCTGTGTCCCTTCCATTCTGTTTCACTGTGAGGGATCCTGAGCAGGCCCTGGATATACATGCTTTGGTGCCTGGATGATGGACACACACATTTCTTCTGGTTGTGAGTATGTGGGTGTGTGGTGTGTATGACAGGTGTGAGTGAAAATGGATTTGTTTTTAAAATAAAATCCTCTTCCTGTCCTCCAAAATCTCATCTTGAGACTTGCTTGTCACCATTAATTAGCAGATGAGCATTTGGGTATTTCCTATAGTCCCTCTGCAGATTTCCCGCTGTGAGTAATGCTGATGCTCTCTGTCCTTACCCATGCCCTGGGCTCCTGTTTGGTTGTATTGAAACACTCTGGGGGTTTTTGTGTTTGTTTTTTTTTTTCGGTTGTTTGTTTAGGTTTTCTGGTTGGTTGGTTGGTTGGTTGGTTTTTTGTTTTGTTGGTTTTTTACTCTGAGCTTGGAGATTTGGCATCTCTCACGTGTCTTCCCAGTCTGTATCACTCAGGCAATCTTTGTATGTTCTTATAGTTAATAAAAATTTAATTTTTTTTGAATGCTGCTAGAGAGACTTGTGGTGGTAAAGTTAATAATATTTGCAACTGAGAAGTCTGGCTAAGAAGTTACCTTTACTAAAAGCACATTTCTTTTGACTAAAAGGTGCCAGTCTGTTGGATTCCTCAAATTTGAGCAAGCTACTCCTGTTTCGTAAATATTATCACAATGTGGGGGTTTTTCTGGAATTCCTCGTGGATTCCAAGTCACACTGAACATTGGCACCAATGGTAAAGTCTGTTCTCCAATACAGTTTATGCTTGAATTGCTGGATTAAGACCACGAAATTTTACTCACTGCTAAGGTTAGAAAAGTCCACACAAGAAACCTGCAGGAAGAACTCAAGAATAATTTCATTTATGCTTTTGAAGAAAAAAAGCACAGAAGGCATGTATAATGATAAAATCAAAATACTAGGAGCTCCAAATAAATGGAGACTATTGAAAAGCAGCTATGAAGATTAGATATAAATCTGACTGCTTGCCACTACCAAGTGGTTTATGTCACTTTGGGTTTAGTCTATTTATTCATCATAAAAATAACGGTGCTGTCTCACCAATAATAATCTCGGTGACTGCTACTGCTCACACCAGATGTTATGAGCTGGACACTGCTGGAGGGGCTCAGCTTCCCCTTCAGTGCTACCACCTCCCTTCTGTTTGTGTTAAGTCCCTTCCCAAGAGATGTTTATAAATTGTGATCAAGTTTCTTAACCTTGTTTTGATAAATGAAAGCAGATGTTTGGCAGGATTCATCTGATTCCTCTCCAGTGTTTATAGACAGTGGGATTGCACTGGCACAGTTCAGGGAGTCTAGGATGCTGTGCATCCTATCCTAAACAAATGTTTACATTAAGTCAAAAAAGAGGGCAGAGCTACACCTTGTAAGTAACTAAAACTACCACAGCCTTATTCTCCTATTTCACACTAGTATTTATATTTTTCATATCTTTAATCTGTCTACAATAACCTCTCTTCAAGACCGCAAATTTCTTTTACAATGGGCCACCTGTACCTATAGAACAAAACTCCTGATTGAGTTATTCTGTGATAACACAGTTGTTTAGCTGATGCCTTATAAACAGACATGTCAGGAGTGGTTATTCCATTCCCTGCTCAGGATCAGTTAGGAGCAAGTCCACATTGTATTTCAGTGTCAGAGGAACTCATGTCCTAGGATGAACCAGCAAAACTGTTTTATGGACAGAATAATGGTGCGTTTATAGGAACATATGCAGCAGTTGGGTAGTAATTTTGTGTCATCCTGGCTCTAGAGATGGAAATGGAGATGGTTTGTGTTTTAGACTTTTAATCTCATTTCATTGATTGTCAATTCATCTGAGGCAGTTAATAGGTTTGGAGAAGCTGATGGGATGTCTGTCTCAGGACATAATTATTTCTGTCATTCCTTCCTCGAGCTGAAACTAAATGTTGGTTAATTATCACTGATTCATTAAAGTAGAACAAAGGAAAACTTCTTCTGGAAGTCTGAGGCTTGTCTTTACTGTGAAATATTGGAGTGCTTCTAGCCTGAGATAAAATCCTGCTGAAGACAACAGTTTCTGCTTGGTCCTGTGAGCTTTGATTATATCCTCGGTGTTTGTTGTCTCTCTAGTCCAACAGCTGTTCAACGATCAAACCTAAAGGTGGCAAGAAATAGGTAATTTTTGCCGTGCTATAGCCAGCAGTACCAAATACTGTGCATCTGAACTGCTGCTGACCTTCCCTAACTACATCATGGGAAAAGTTAAAGTAATGGTCCCCAGGAGGGTTGGACAGTAAGGTTAGTTATTTCGCTATGAAAACAAAACAAAAAGCCTTCTTTTGGAAGTGAAGAAGTAGCAGTTATGTGCTTTGGTCACTTATCTGAGGATATTCATTACTGTTCATGCCCTCAGATGCTATCCCATCCTGCTCTGAGAAGTCTTTATGAGCAGAACAAGGGCATCTCAGTGGTCAGATAATTTGTATATTAAAGAGACTTGAAATTGGTGCGGATTTGTCTTAAAAAATTTGGACACAACAGTGTTGTAAATCACTGCCCTAAGTTGTGTGGTAATGTACTAAAACTGTCACATTTCTATTGATCCCACTAAGATTATTGTAAAAGACATATCAATATACCACACTGTTCATATGGAAAGATAAAGGGTCTAGGTTAGATAATAGGATGTTAGAAAAAAGGTTCTTTGCCCAGAGGGTGGTTGGGCACTGGAACAGGCTCCCCAGAGAAGTGGTCACAGCACCAAGCCTGACAGAGTTCAAGAAGTGTTTGGATAACACTCTCAGGCACATGGTGTGATTCTTGGGGCTGTCCTGCACAGGACGACGAGTTAGACCTCGATGAGTCTTGTGGATCCCTTCCAACTCAGGATATTCTGTGATTCTGTGATCTTTCTTCCACCTACATGGTTTTGACATTTCTGTAACTACACTATTTTTTGTCAAACAATTCTTAAATTTATCCCTGTATGCATAAGAAGAAATTGAAATCTCAGACTCAGTACAGTGAAAGAGATGGCTTCCTGGTCTAACTGTATGGCTGTAAAGGAGAGCTAGACTGGGATTCATCACTCTGGAATGTAATTCACACATCCATCACTGTCTTAGTGATGTCAGTTTGCCCTTAAATTTCCTATAAGGTAAGATTACTTGCTCATTACCTCACGGTGATGAGATATTTGCACATCTAAGGTGCATCCACACTCTGTGCATCACAGGAAGTTAGTACAAATGTATTTACTTATTAATACAAATGTGTTAACTTACCACACAAGACTTGCAGAGATGAGAGGTGACACCTTGTACAAGCAGGAAGTATGGGATATCCTGAAGAAGAAAGAAACACTGAGGAAATAAATGCATTTGTAACTAGCAGTAGAGATCAGTCTCCACTGACCTCACCTTACCTTACCTTGCAGAAAACTTGGGAGGCTTCATTATTTGACTTAGAAATTGCTGTGCAAATGCAATAAAAAAGAGTCCTAAAATTGGTTTATAAAAATTAAGAAAATAACATGTTATTAGAATAGTTGTACAAATTAATATAATTGCAAAATTGCTTTTATGTATGGATATTCCAGTTGAGAATAATTACAGTCAGACTACATGTAGCTAATATAAGAAAACCACACTCCCTTTTCCAGTCTATCTTCTTAGTTATGAATTTGTTGTGTGAATCATCTACCTAGAGCATTTCTATAAGGAAAACCTCATTTGATGAAAGCTTTGCTTTGAAGGAAAGAAGCAATCTAATAATAATTATAATAATGGTCATTCTTTTCTCATATTTTGAGTTTTTAAAAGTCACGGTGTTTGTGAAGGACTAGTGGTCTTATAGCTGTAAATTGTGATTCTGCTATGGTACAAAGTATTCACTGAGGGACTACTGAAAGGCATTTTGATTACATGAAGGGTCTTAAAATGTTTTCCTTTCAAGGAATTTTAAATGTCTCTAAAGTGTTTAAGGGGAGATGAAAGACTCTGTAATGTACTTCATGCTTTGTACCGTCCTGCAACAGATAAATGCCCTGGGGTGGAGCATTTTAGATCTTTCTACATGCTCAACTGTGTCCAGTAATTATCCTGGAATAATTTCATATCGGAGGAGTTTACATTGGAGAGGATGGGTCTACTTGACACTGTTACTTTGCCAGGTCCCACTTATAAAAACACCTTTCCTCTAGAATTAAAAATAACCACTTTTCAGCAGCTTTTTACACAGAAGTCTCACCAGGGCAGGACAGCGTATGCAGTAGAACAGCATGTGGACATTTCACTATGAGTCTCTTCAGAATTTGTGAAGCTGTGGACATCCATGAGGTATTACACATGTGGTAAAGACCTGGACATTGCCTTGAGCAGGAAGGGGACTGTGGGCGTGTCCACTAAAACCTGTGTCAGGGTCACAGTAGCCCTTGCAAGATTTCATAGACTTGAGAAATGCTGATGGAAAGTAACCTCTGAATGTCTCTAATCTAAACTTCACCTCAGAATAGGGCTGGAGCGTACCCTAGATTGCATCAACTATGGCTCTGCTGCTGGAATCTTGAACACCTCCTAGAATGGAGATGCCACGTCCTGTCTGGTAACCTGTTCCAGTCCTCTAGTGAAGAAGTTTTTGTTAGTGCTCAGTCTAACTTCCAAGTCATAGCTTGTGGACATTGGCTTAATCACTGCTACTACTGAGAAGGGTTTGGCTTCATCATCTTTTTTAATGCCTTTACATAGTGGGCTGTTACTAGGTCCTGTCTTGACTTCATCATCATCAGACTCAGCAAGACTAATGCCTTCATGTTCTCCTCACAAAAGTACTCTATGCCCTGAGTGTTTTAGCAGTTCACCTGCTGGACCCTGTTCAAAATTCTCCACCTCCATCTTGAACAAGAGGCTCAAACATGTGCAGTCCCAGCAGCACTGAGGAGAAGGGGCAATAACTTCCCTTGATCTCCTGCACTACAAGGAGTGGTTTGCCTCATTTGTGGCAAGAGAGAACTGTTGTTTCCCATTTAATCTGTCTTTCAAACTAACACATGGGTCCTCCTCAGTAGGGCTGCTCTTCAATTAGTTGGTTCCCAGCCAGAACTGACACATGGGGTTATTCCAGCTTGGTGCAGGGCTTTGCATGGCTCTACAAAGCTTAATGAGGTTTCTCTTGGCCTCAAGTTTCCCAAGGTCCTGCTGGATCAAAGTACTAGTGCTCAGTATGCCAACCACCCAATCCAGTTTGGTGTTGTCTGCATATCTGCAGAGGGTGACTTCTGCCTCTTGTTCAGGCTTTTAGAACTCTCTTTCCATGGGAAGAGAGGACACAGTCTTGGTCTGTGGGATCTATGGACTAGACATCTTCTGGCATCTTTTCTGCTTTCCCACACCCACCTCTGGCAAAGCTGGTTGAAGCAGTCAGTTCTTGCTGCAGCCCAGCTCCTGGCCACTCCTTTCTCCCCTTTGCTTTCCCTGCTTGTGCTGACACCAGTGTTTGGGGCAGGGTGGCAGACCACGCTGGTGAGCAGATGTGGGATACCCGCAGCCATCACAGATATTTTTGTACAGCTACAATTTTTCAGCTGTGGAAGCAAAGCTCTCTCAGACAGCAGAGCTGTGAGCAGAGCTGGGCTGTTGTCGTCTCTGGGTGACGATGCTTCGCCTTCTGCCACTGCTCCCCACAAAGCACTGAGTGGTGACGGTCTACATGCTCTGCCAGCCTGGTGTGTGTGAGGGGGTGATGTATTCATGCTGTTCCAGCCAGGACAGCCGAGGCTGCTGGAGTTGGCAGCACACATGGTGACCTCGGGCAGAGGAACCGTAACTAACCCCCAGACACGTACCGGGCACAGATGTTTGCGGATTCAGTGTCTGCTGCAGCCAAAAAGTACATGATCTTTCTCTGTTGTTGTTCTTTCTTCTTTTTTTTTTTTTTTTTAAAGTCATGTGCTCCTTTCCCACTAGTGCTGTCAGCTCCGGAGGTCTCTCTTGCAGCGATGTAAACATGGCTACTGTGCATCCCTGCGATTGCAGCCCGTAGCTCACAATGAGGCAGCCAATGCCAACAGATGTATAATGAGCATTTAAAAAGCACTTATTTTGTCATCCAATCATCGATCATCCTCATTGTGTAAATATTTTTTTTTGTTTCCACAACAAAATGACTTTAAAAGAAATGTTCACCAGGAAGAAAAATAAAATTGATTCTGGTGATAAAATCAGGACAGTCAAAGTGATTAATATGACATCAGGGAAAGCTTGCAAACAACGCCTAATTTCTGTGGCAAAAAGACCTCGTGGATACACCAGCGCTATGTTGTGCCTGGAAATTTAGTGGCAGCTGGAAATTTGATGGTGACCTCTGATAAACGAGAAAATGGTGAGGGTTTTAATGAATGACTTGAATAAGAAAATAAATAAGCCAGTCTGTGTGGTATTCTTCAAGATATTTGTTTTGCTATTAAGTTTGGTTAATGTGGTTCTCACTGTGTCATGGTGATCGTGCTGACAGCACATCACGACATATGAGCTTTGTGGCTGTTTGACTGTCAGGGAAGGGGATTCATTGCCTCAAACTCACAAGGTAGAACAGGGAGGTAACTGTAATAGGAGAGCATTTGGAAGCCCTTGGCAGAAAATGTCAGAGATCGTAAAGATAGAAAGTGTTCTGCAGATCATCTTTGCTCTCCTCTGTCAAACTGGCCACAGAACCTAAATGAATTCCTTTCTGTTTACCTTCTTTTTTTTTTTTATTTGTGAGGAAAATTTAGTCTGGAATTACATCTGAAAAATGGATATGGGGGGAGGGGGCTTTAACCACAAAATTTGGGAAAGTTACACTCATGGTTGATTATGTTCATTGCAGTGTGTTCTTAGCCTCACTTTATGAAATTGCAGTGTTTATTCTGTGGCTCTTTTATCTTTGTTGTGATGTTTAGAAGCATTCTTATGAAATGTTGAGTTCCCATCTGACTATTTATAGACTATGTTTGAGTCACCTCTTAATCTTCCTGTGGGTAAAACCAAACTAAGCTCCATGCTTCTGTCACTATAAGGCACGCTTTCAAGAGCTTGCTCATTCTCAGTTTTTCCAGTTCAGTGTCCTCCTTCTCAGCTGTAACACATTCCTACTCCTGGTGGTAGCCACTGCCCAGAGCTGCTGGCGACCTGCTACGCCCTGAGGTGCTGTTCAGTAGAGGGCAATGAGAACCCATCTAGGCTGGTTTTCATCTGAAAAGTGGACCTGCATGGAATAGATGAGAACTCAGGGATCAGTGGGCTACCTGTGAGAGCCCGTACTTGCCACTGGAAGGTCTCCCAAACCCTGTCAAAGGCAAAGCAATGTTTTTCCAGCTTTTAGAACAATAAGGGCTGTATAAAAGCTGTTCCTTTCTTCATTCATAATTTTGCAATTTATTAAAACCTCCAGTTTTCAGTCCTTTCTAGTTTCAGCCCAGGGAAGGTAGAACAAATTAGGCTGTCACAATTCAGTCACTTTTCTTGGTTATCTTGCAGAACCTACTTAAATATAGTTTCTCCAAGAATTCCCCAGTTGAAAGCCAGAAACCTGTGAGCTGAAATACACACAGAGGGAACACAGAAGGCATCATGCTGACTTTTTTTCCTTAGAGCATATTCAGTGCTTGGGTGACCATCTCAGTAAGCCTTCCCAAGACTCTGCAGCTCATTTCAGATCCCTGCAGTTCATCCAGACAGGCCGTAACTCTGTGGTCCGTGCATCAGGAGAGAAGTGCAGTAATCCCTCAATAACCTTGACTAATGCCATAATGAACTAATGGCAACTTCTGGAAGCTCTTCAATACAGTATAATGTTCAACCTTGATCCTTTGAGTTTATCTGGGTCTTCATGAACACAGAATTGCTTAACTGACATAGAAGTTCCTGTTAGACTTTTCAGAAGCAATTCAGATGTTTGTGGTGGGAGCCCTAAAGGTATAGAGATGCTTTGTTTCTTTTCAGTGTGATGAGACTTAAGTGTTTAATTTCTTTTACAGATCTAAATTTTTACTTAGCCATCTCTACAGTGTTCTAATGCTCCCATGCTCACTTCCCTTCAGGCCTCTGGGTAATGAGAACACCTTTTTTCTAGAATATGTGACTGTGTCTCGGTCACTTCAGTGCAAGTTCTACTAGTTTGGCTCTAAGTGCTGAGAATCTGATCAAAACTTCTTGACTCTCCAGTGAAGCAGATGAAGGTCATACATGTCTCCCACTCACTGCTTAGCTAAAGGGATTGCAATGACCAGTGAAGCAGCAGAACAAACTTTTGAAGCAATAACATCTTAAACTGAAAGTGCATGTACTAATGCTTGAAGGTTTTGTGTTTTGTTTTGTTTGGGGTTTTTTTGTATGTGTGTTTGGGGTCTTTTACTGTTGTTTTGCTTTTTTTTTTTTAATCAAAAGAACTTACACGGTTAAAATATTTTTTCTCTTCATACCAGCTTGAACCCACTGGCACAGTAATTTTGTGTCCAGGCACAAATAGCCACAGAAAAAGATACTTATTCTTAAAATACCTCTTTTTCACACAAAAAGTATCTCCAGGTCCTTCATAACATTACCTCTAGCAGAAAAATCCAGCAAACAAAATATTCACTCAATCCCTTTTAATCATATGATCAAAGTATTTTACCATGGCAAATTGAACAAGCATCTAAAAAGAGAGATGAAGAGCAATGAGCAAAGCAGAGGGAAAGAAATTACTTTGATCCGGAAGGGAGTAGGAGAGCAAGGAGAGTTTTGGGTGAGAAAGCTGTAGAGGAGAAGAATTCTTCACTGAGGGGCTGTGTTAGGGTAACAGGAAGAGCAGATGCTGGATGATCAAGGGAGCCCCAGAGGGGAGCAGAGGAGGACTTGGTCTGTATGATGTCGTGGATTTGGAAGATCAGGAGAGGGTATCTGATGCTGTGGTACATGTTTCCATGCTGGGGGAAGAGCAGGAATTAGACCAGAAGATGGCTGAAATTTCTTTCGTGAGAGGTAGACAAGGAACAAAGATGTCTTTTTCTTCCTCAGATTTGGCTGAGCAAGGAATGGCAGGGACAGAAACATCTGGATGGCGAAGCTGTTGCCAGACTATCTGTAAAATTAATTAGCAGATCTCACCTTATTTTCTCCATTCAGCAACAGGCCAGATAGGAAACAAATCAGACTATTTTAAAGTAATTTTCACTCCAACATATTTACTTTCCAGAAAGATACTAAAGAAAATACTGACATGCCAGTCTTGATGGGATCCTTTGTTTCATGTGGTGTGGTAATTTACTCTTACATTGGACTTCATATTTCTCCAGTTGGTGCAGCAAACTACTCAGACTGTGGGAGGATATTTACTGTTTGGAGAAGTCCTTGGACAGTTCAGCAAACTTTGTCTTGTTTCTCTGTACAAGAACTATATATAGGCTTTGCTCAGTCAAGGTCTCCGATGTTGTGTGAGCAGAGCTAAATATTTTTAAGAGTATAAAAAAGCAACAAGATAACTCCAACCATTTGGCTTTGTTAGAACCAGGTGTTTGTCTTGCTGTGTAGTAACAGAGGAAAGAGAAACTACCTTAAAGGCACATTGATTTGCGCTATTTCTTAATCTGAAACTGAGACAAGCAGATATAAACAATGCATCTTAAAAAACTTTTAGATTCATAGCATCTCTATGAAGCTGTTGTTACCTTTCAGGTTACCTTTTTTTTCATTTCAAGATACAAACAACCAATGCCTATACTGTGTCTGACTCTATTTGACTTGACCTAAAAATGATTTATCTATAAGTGCTGTGATAATATCAATATTCTATAATAATGGTAGGAGAATAGAAAAATCACCTGTCTGAAAAAACTTACCTGACAGTGAAATCTGACAGCAAATGCCAACAACTACCTTTGAGTAGTTGAGTAAACTGCCTTTTTCTCAGTTGAAAGTTGACCAGAAACCTCACAGATAAGAAGTCTTCTGAAAACTGATTGAAATATGTTTAATGACTCAGAGTAATTAAGGGTCTGTTTCCATTTCTGCTGGTGGATACACAATAGAAAATGACCAAACGGGGAACCCTTCTACCCTTTTTGTTTCCCCTCCACAAACTGTCAGACCAGAAAAGGATTGATGGGACAGGAAGGTGCCCTGAAAGCAGGGGGTTAGGAAAATGATGGGTATGAGTAGCCTTGTGTGTGAGGATCAGGATCTGCAATCTGAAATGGCAAAGAAACAGATTTCTCCTTACTGAGAGGGGGAGTTGAGATAGGAAAGGCAGGAAGGTTTTGAACGGTTAGGGGTGAGTTTAGTCCCTGACACTGTTCTCTTGTTACTGCACCTCCTCTGGCAAATTTTGCCTCTTGCTGTCCCACTCGGAAAATACCCCGACACAAAGGTCACATTAACACGAGGCACAGGCCGGCGTAAGAGATAGACACTACTATAACTAAAGCAACCAGCTGTCATTCACTCAAGCAGGGACCTCAGCGGAACCTGAGCAGAGATTTCATACAGATGTCGGATGGAGCTGCCAGGTCACTCCCGCGGCTCCGCTTAAAACACGGGCAATTCCAAGTCCAGGGCAGGTCCAGCAGAGCCAGGGGTCGCCAAGCTGACCCTATACCTCTACTCCTTTCCTCGCCACGGCCCGTCAAACCCCGCTCCGGGCCGGGCCCGCCCCCGCCCTGCCCTCAGGGGCGGGCGCTCCGCCCCGGGGTTGGCGGCCCGTGCCCGCCCGGGGGCCGGGGCTGGCGGCGGGGCGGGCCGGGGGAGGGCTCGCTGGGCTCCGGAGCCCCGGCCCGGCCAACCCGCGGCCGCCGCGGCTGAGCCATAAAAGCGGCGGGAGCCGCTGGGTCTGCGGCTCCAGTTGGCGGCAGCCGTGCCCGGCACGCCTGGAGTGGGCAGCGCGGCCGCCCCCTCCGCAGCCCCAGGGACCGCCGCCGGGCCGCCCCCAAGATGCTGTTTTGGCACACGCAGCCGGAGCACTACAACCAGCACTCGACCGGCAGCTACCTGCGGTGAGTCCCGGGCGGCGGGAGCCCCTGCGCCCTGGCATAGCGGTCTGTGTGTTTGGGGGTCGGGTGCCCCCGTCCCGCCGCCGCCCGCTCGGCTGCCCGGCGGCACCCCCGGTACCCTCGGCCCCCCGTGGTGCCCTAACCGGGGTTAGCGCCGCTCCCTCCGTCTGAGAGACCGCGGGTTCCTTTTTCTTGTTTTTCCCCTTCTTTTTTCTTCAGCGCCTCGTTAGACAGCTCTGTGCAGCTTTGCGTTACCGCTGGTGCCCGGTTCTCTCTCCTCCGCGCTGAGGTAGCGCGGCTCAAAGGGAGGAGGTGCGGCAGCGGCGAGGCGCTGTCAAAAGTCTGTGGAAAACGCCTGCTGGCAAACTGAGAAGGCACGCAGTTTTCTGGGGACGGGATTTCTTTCTCTGCTTTTTGGGACGGTGTATGTAAAGCTCAGAATTTCACTTTCTGAACTTGCCTAAACCAGCTTTTTCCTGCCTCCGCACAGTTGCGTTTAATTAAATGCGCCTAATTTAAGTACAAGGGCTGCTAAACAATAGTCTGTAACATGTGTAGCACAAACCCATGTTTCCTCCCTCTAACCGATGTGAAAGCAGGCAACTTTGGGAGTTTCCTTTTTGCTGGTTGCTTGTGAATTATTTGTTTTCTGAAGATGTAAAGCTCAGCCGTCAGCTGGTGTCGATTGCTGCTGCTGCTCTGCCAAAGGGGGATTTTGCTGAATTATGGCAGTGGAGAACCTGGCCGTGGCCCAAGAGCCTGACTTTCAAATGTACCCCTAAACAACCCCTCTTGAGAGAACATTGAGTTTGTCTGAGGAAGCACTTCCAACACAGATAATACTTCCTTTTCAAGGAGACACGCTATCTGGTCTATTCCTACTCCCTATCAGTGTGTTTACAAAGGAATTTTTTTTTTTTGCTCTAAATAATAATCTCCCGTTATCAAATGATACGGTACTGTAAGATTCTTACTTTCTGGCAGCTTCTCCACTTCTTCATACAAGATTCTTCATGTCGTCCCTCTGTTTCAATAACTCAGTTTCACAACATGTATGTGGCAAAAGTCTTGTTCTCTTGCTTTGTGCTTGCGGATCTGATTGGTTTAGGACAGTGAGGACGGCAGTAGCAGAGGAGCATCAGCATTGCTACTTGTGTGTATTCTCAGCGTTAGAGAGTGTTTATGGTGCTCAGGCTGCTTCATTAACTGCTTCATAATGGATTTGTAGCACAGTGCTTCAAGATCATCAGGTCTGGGTCAGGCTTGAGTCCACAATTTAAATTTTGTCTAATTGGCCAGAAAACACATTTGCTTATTTTTGCTGGCTTGATGCTAGCTGGGGGATAAAGGATACCTTTCTGTCAGGAAGGCTGCTGGTATGGCAGTGACCTGTCAGTGTTTTAGGAACAAACTTCAGCTTTAGTGAGTATCTGCTACTGTGACCATGGTGTTTTTGATCTCGGACTAAAAGCCCTAAAATCAGTTTTATGGCAACAATGCCCTCGGGTGTTTCAGGGAACGTTGGTTGAACAAAACCCTCGTTTTTTGTGTAGAGACCTCTTAATTCTGGCCAATTCACTTTCCATGAGAATGTGTCAAGATATGCATTTCTAAGAGGGGCATTTTTCTGCTGAGCTGTGCCTTTCTGAAGGCTTTCCATACCCCCTTGTAGCGACTCTGCACGGAAAACTGAAATAGTACAATTCTTGAAGTTGCTGTAACAAAAGTTTATATAAATTATACTTTGCAGAAATCAAAGACTTTCTGCGTATCTGAGGCATCCGTGTAAGTTCTACCATACCTCAGTGGCATTTGTAGTTAAAGCAAGATGATATTACAGAAAAATCCTTGTAAATCTTCATTCAGTTTTTATAAAAACCAAGTACATGTTTTACTTTCTGTTCTATCAGCTGACTGAACTCTCAAATAACTTTGTTCTCTGGTAAGCAACAGTCTAAGTGTTGGTTAAGACCAGAACTGGAGAGTTTTAGCAAAAAGGTGAAACTTGTGAGAGTTTTTAGAAGTTCACCTTTTTTTTTTTTTTTTAAGAGTTGAATATTGCGATGGCTTATATACTTAACTTAAAAATTCTTTTAAGTCTTCACCTCCTAACTTCCAAACATTTTTAATAAGGTGGAATGTTTTAGAAGGTCTTGACCCAAAGCCACGGATACCGCAGGCCATTAGTTCAAATGCTCCAAGAATAAAAATGTGATTGAATTGTGTGGCTTCACTGGGGCTTTAGTATGGTGAAGCTTTTAAGAAACCAAATCGTGGATTCCTCCATGCTTACAGTCTTCAGCAATCAGACAGCTGTTCTGGCAAGTGCAGGGGTGCTAAGAGCCTGATGTGAAATATGGTATTGGTGGAATTTTGATATCCTCTTGCTTAAATTTCTCAGTTGTTTCAGGTGAGTAGGTGTACAAATTCCTCATCCCTAACTGTTAAACCTGGGCCAGACTTTGTGCACCATCTCTGCTGAACTGTAGAAGTTTTGGGCTTTGGAGTTTTTGACCTGTTCTCGTCTGTAAAGCTGCACACATTCCAATGGCATTGTGCAGATGAGTGTGTTAAGAGCAAATGTTGGCATCCGTGAGCGAGATGACTCTGGAGCAGTATCAGATCCTGCATGTGTGTGGAGCAATGCTATCTATTTCAGAAATCTACTGCAGGCATTTCTGTCACTTCGTTACTGTAGTAAATCATCACTAAGGAAAAAAACCCTCTCTGTGGCAGCAGTTAGGCAAGAGCTGTGATTATGTCAGTAATGCCAGTAAGCAAATGGGGCTGGATGCCTTTGAGTGGGTGATAACATGGAGGGCGTGGGGTTGGAAGAGAGAATGGAAACAGAGATGGGTGTTTCTTTTCTCCTGTTTGTGTCTGAAATGGCACATTTTGCTCTTTGGCTTTATTTTGCCATAAATAGGAGTACCTATGGTTGAACCAGGCACTTCAGCAGTTTGCTCTAAACTGCTGCACTGTTTCACTCATGACCTGGGTAGCCTTCAAGGTTGTGGGTGCTACGAGTGGATCATTAACTGAACAGGCAAGGCAAAAATTCTTAATGCCCTTTTAGGGTGCATGCCTGTACATGCTGGTATGTTCCTGGATGTTTTTTCTTAAAGCTTTTTGTATATGAGATTATCAAAAGGAGCAGAACTGCAGCCTCTGTAATGGGAATCTCAAGTCTTCACACATCTGGAGGAAATGCAGGAGAAAAAGAATCTTATTCTGAATTGTCTCCATGTTCAACATAATCCTCCTAATTTGGAAGGATATTAATGTCTTAAGTAGGTGGACACAATGATCAGAAGTGTTTGTGACATGGGTAGGGCTAATGTAGTTCTTCAGTATCAGACAGGCTGAGACAAGGATGCTTATTCCTGTCATCTCATTTTGTACTAATCAACTAATCATTTGTTGAGCTCTCAGCCTTGCTAATACCAGTTCTGCTTGGGGATTAGTGTGGGTTGGGATCAGCCTGACACTAAATCAGCAGGCAGGTCAGCATCAACATCTTGTAAAGAAGTGAGGACAGGGACTATGTGCAGGTCCTGGTGAAGCTGCTTCTGAGCACCTTTGTGTGCATTTATGAAGATGGCCCAGTGCTGACTTAAGAGCTATGTGGTTACTTGGGACCAGGCTTATTTAGAGTGCATGGAGATCTCATGAGTCAATTAATCCAGCAGGATTCATGCCATTATTTACCTGAATGTCTCCCTTTTACACCAGAGCTGTGTCTGTTCCTTGCCCTTGGTTGCTACTTGTAGACATTTTACTAACCAGAGATTCAACTGTCAAAGTGCCCTTTCTTGCTTTTTTTTTTCCCCCTGGAAGGCTTTCATCTGAGAACCCAAGAACTCTTAAACATATGTACTTCCACAAGGATGAAGAATCTATTTTTGATAATTTTTGTCCTCATCAAGAAAACTGCTTAACTGAAAAGTAAATCTGATTTAATTTTTAAAAACATAAATTAATTCTCAGACATTCTGTATTGCCAGTGGTGTGTTCTTTTTTTGTGCAGTGCTGATGTCCTAGAGGCAGAAGTTGCCTGGTTACTTTATACAGGCAGAATTAACTCTGTTTCTTCAGAGACCATCTCCATTATACCAGATCATGAGAACCAAGTGCAGATTTAGGCTAGGATATTCCATAAACTCTTTGTAGCTAAATGTCTGTGAATTGTGTGTTGCAGAGATGTCCTTGCGCTGCCTATTTTCAAGCAGGAAGAACCGCAGCTGTCTCCTGAGAACGATGCCAAACTGCCACCCTTTCAGTACGTCCTCTGCACAGCCACATCACCTGCCGTGAAACTGCACGAAGAAACCCTGACCTACCTCAACCAAGGTAGGGTTTGCACTACACTGAAGAAGAACACATTTCCTGGGAACAGTTGATGAGAGATTTAATCCCATACTTGTCTCACCGGGAGGGCAGCGGGATGGGAAAAGAGGGATAGAGATGGGGAGGGGGTGGAGGAAAGGAGGAGTATTTAATTTTTAATATTTAGATACCAGATTATCAACTATTATAAAATAATGAAGTACCACTGATTTAACTGTCGGCTTAAAGCAGTGTTGTAGCATGTACAGTTCCCTGTGGCCAAGTACTGGCTAGATCTCAGACAACTTAAACTGCAGCCACAAGGCCAGATTGATAAGCAGATG